GCCATAAAGCTCTTGGGTTCCATCACCCTCCTCGCCACGCTGCTGGTGGCACTGGGACACCCCGACCCGGCTCTGGACTGGCACTGGAAGCTCTGGAAGACAACCTACGGCAAGGAATATCCCCATCAGGTGAGGGCACCCCGGGGTAGGGGGGGTGGAGGTGGCTCCGGGGCGCTGGCACGGCGGGGGCAGGGTTGGCAGAGCTCCGATGCCCAGGGGTGGCTGGGGAAGGGGTTCCCCGTGGCTTTTAGGGGGATAAATTGGGGTGAAATGGGGTTTTTTTTTTGGGGGGGAGGGTGTTGCTGGGTGCCACGAGGCCGTGTTGGGTTTCAGAAAGAGGAAGAGGAGCGGCGTGGGATCTGGGAGGAGAACTTGAGGGTGGTGACCCTGCACAACCTGGAGCACTCCCTGGGGCTGCACTCCTACCAGCTGGGCATGAACCACCTAGGAGACATGGTAGGTGCTGGTCGTGCTGCTGAGAAGGGCTTCGTCCTTCTCCAGGTGGCCTGAAGTGGGTCAAGGGGTGGGAAAAAAGTCCCAACGAACCTTCTCAGCCCGTCCTCGTGGCTGTGGGCAGACTGCTCAGACATTCCTGGGCTGGCATGAGGCAACCTGGTGTGAGGAAATAGCTTCATTTGGGGTGCACAGCCCCGGTCCTGGTCATTAGAGATGTTTGGAAATGATCCTTCTTCAACCTCCTCAGCTGGAGCGTTGTTGGAGGAAACATCTCAGGAGGTTTGGGGCTGGAGTTCAGCTTTGGGGCTTCCTTTTCTCACCCTAAAAAAGCCAGAATTGAAATGTTAAAACAAAAAGGTGAGGGCTCCACAAATTCTTGGCCAAGGGGAAGCCTCCTCCACGTCCAACACACCCCATTGGACTTCCCCAGAGACAACAAATCCACGAGCTGATGTCTTCTTGTCCCACCAGACCAGCAAGGAAGTGGTGGCTTTGCTGACGGGGCTGAACGTTGCTCCTGGCTCCAAAAGGGTCTCCTGGAACCCACCACGAGCTGGGAGGCAGGTCCCAGACACGATGGACTGGAGGGAGAAGGGCTGTGTCACCGAGGTGAAGAACCAGGTGAGAAGATCTCAACTCAACTCTTTCCACCTCGGGGGGAGGGGGCTCAGGACCGAGCTCGGTGTGAACATCTCAAGGGGGGGTTTCCACAGGGTTCCTGTGGGTCCTGCTGGGCCTTCAGCGCCGTGGGGGCCCTGGAGTGTCAGGTGAAGCTGAAGACAGGGCAGTTGGTGTCCCTCAGCACCCAGAACCTCGTCGACTGCTCCGTGATGTACGGGAACAAGGGTTGCAGTGGTGGCTTCATGACCAACGCCTTCCAGTACATCATCGACAACGAAGGGATCGACTCGGAGGAGTCCTACCCCTACAAGGCTCAGGTAGGAGGAAGAGCTCAGCACCTCCTGGAACCCACAGGAGAACCCGTGGAGGCAACAGGGTCTTTAGATCTTGCCCCCCTTCTAGACACCCTTCTCCTCCTCTCCCATCCATTTCCCTCTGTCTTGGTTTCTCTCGGTCTTCGTGGCGTCTCCTCAACCTTTGGTTCCTTCAGAGGTAGGGAAGGGACCTGGAGACTTTTTTTGGGTTTTCCCTCAGAGGTGAATGACTGGATTGGGAGCCAGAATTTCTACATGTTGATTCCTGGCCTGGCTAAAGGATGAGGCAACATCCTGCATGGAAGAGGAAAATGGGGCAGGAGTCTTGGGTCTTCTCATCCTCTATCATTAACGTTGATATTTCTGTGGGTAGAGGTTCCTCAGTGAAGGACGTTGATGTTATTCTGTTGAAAATTTGCCTGGAAGGCTGCAAGGTCATGAGGAAAGAGCCAGCAGAAAATAAAGGTCCTGAAAATAAAGGTCCTGGAAAAAAAAAGGTCCTGATGCCAAGGGTCTTGGTGGCCAGAGAGGGGAGATGGTGTCTTGAGAACATGGCCTGTGGAAATGGGTCAAAGGAACAGCAGCTCAGGCCGTGATGAAGTGGACTTCCAGTCTTCAAACGTGCACAAGCCAGCTCCAGAGGTGCCATTCTTGGTGTCCAGAGGGAGAGGGAGAAGCCACGGGTTGAATTTCCACCCGAAGAAATGGAGGTTGAGAAGAAATGGAAGGGGAGGAGCCTTCAGATGGGGAGGAGGAGGAAGCCAGGATGGTTTCTCTAGGGAAGTGGGAGAAGTATTGTCATCAGAGGTTTCTAGAAAAAAAAAAGGCAGGGAAATCTGTTCCAATGGTTTGGCTGCTCTTGGTGGGGGGAAGTGAGGTGGACAAGAGGGTCTCTTCATGTAGGGTCTCTTCATGTCCTTCCAGCCATCTTCTCTGTAGGCCAACGTATAAAGAGCTGGTGGCCAAAGAAAAATGAAGAACAGGGTAAAAAAGGGCTGGTAGAAACCAAATTCTGGAACATCTTGAGATGTTCCTGGTGGATCCCTCACGCTCCTTGTTCAACTTTCTCCACTTCTCCTCCTTCCTGGCCAGAATGGGACGTGTCAATACAACGCTTCCACTCGAGCTGCCACCTGCTCCAAGTACGTGGAGCTGCCCTTTGGGGATGAAGAAGCCCTGAAAGATGCTGTGGCCAACGTTGGGCCAGTCTCTGTTGCCATCGATGCCACCCAGCCCACCTTCTTCTTGTACAGGTCAGGTACGTCCTGGAGAGGAGTCTTCTGTGGAGAATGGATGAGAGTTGGGGGGAATTGGGCTGAATTCTTGGCTGCAGACGTTGGTAGGGTTGAACTTCAGCATTTAGTGGTGGTGCTGGAGGGTGACATGGACTCAGAGAGGAGCTCTGGTGCTCTGGTGACCTGCTTCCAGGCTCCTCTTCTCTTAGGTGTCTACGATGACCCCAAGTGCAGCCAGGAGGTGAACCACGCCGTGGTGGTCATCGGCTACGGCACCCTGCAGGAGAAGGACTATTGGCTAGTGAAGAACAGGTATGGCCACCAACCACCCAGCTCTCTGCTCTGGGGACACCCTGGGGCAGCTCTGGAGGCCTCAGCCCAGCAGAGCCAGGGACCTGCTGG